TGTGCTGGAGCTTATTCTCCGACGACACGGTGGAGTACTATGAGCTTTACTACCGACCGGTGCTGGAGGACACGCCCGCAGACAGTACCAGCGCACTGCAGGGTATGACGAGCTCACACTGGACGATGACACCATTACAAATACAATGTTGTAGACAGTCCAACTAAATGGGTGGGGTTTTTTGGGGGTTTTTTTTTCAGAAAGCAAGGTAAAAGTGAAGGAGACCCATTGCACTGTGACAGAACTGCTCCCCAATGCTCAATATGAGCTTTGGGTGACGGCTACCAACACAACAGGCATCAGCCCAGCGAGTGAGAAGGCCTTGTACATGACAGGTAATTTAATGCCACACTGTTCTCACAACACTACAGGTGCACCGGAAACCATTCAGCCACCACTGCAAATTAGATTTATTGACAAATTACACAAAACCGTAATATCTTGTGCTATTACAAGTGGTTTCTTCGAATTAAATGGAAAATGACACTTCCGATGAAAACTGCAGTCTCCAAATTACTCAACCGGTTTGTGAAGAGAGTATTTAGCACTTAGTATAGCAGCTTTTTGCTGTTCTGGCCGCCTGCAAATGGGATATATAGCCAGGTACCAGCTTCCTGCAGCGATCCTGAGGACTCTATGCCTGCTGCTCAAACACAAGGGCCTCCAATTCACTATTATTTCTGGGTTTGTGTGCTGCACCTGCCTTTTTCAAATCCCCAATTCATGAGAGTTCAAGTCGGTCACCATTGTTATGCATACTAATATTTACCAGGACATCTTCTGAATCATAGTGGAGCAAGAGCTTCTTAAAAAAGGGAGGTGAAATTGAAACTTAAATTTGATATTTGATTTATATATAAAAAAATTATAACAACTGAAGCCTTTATTGTGCTATAAATGGCACTATGTGCCTGGAAAATAAATAGCACCCGTTAAACTTTTCAAGACGATAATCTCTTCTCTAAATTTCTTGAACTTAGTCATATTTCTTGTTGCCATGAACAAAGTGTTCAGTCTAACAAACCCAAACCAAATAATGAAATCCTCTTATTGTTGACCTCAGTTGTGCCTGAGATCACATTTAGTTTTCTAATTTGTGCTCTGATAAATAATTATTTTCAGTTTGTTGAATAATTTTGAGGATTTCTTAGACTTTTAAAGCAGGACACTAGTTCTTCTTTTTCTGTATAACTTCAGTTGCAAGTACTCAACAGGCTTGACACTATAAATGAAAGCCCAAATTGTGTTTCCGTAGTGCCGTCACCTCCTGTGATCAAGCAGAGGGAGTGCAGCAGCTGCCCAGAAGCTGCTCTGATCCGATGGGAGTCAGGGAACACCAACCCTGTCGACTCCTACACCGTGGAGCTCAGTGAGACGGGAACTGTTGGCACGGTGAACAACATTACTGAGTACGAACTGAGCTATTAATACCTCAATCTTACTCGATGATTATGTAACGATTTCTTAAGAAAAGTAGAAAAATGCTTAAGGTGTCAGAGGTTTGCAACATACTGCTCCCTAAGGTGTTAGAACTCTTCATCTGCTTTGGTAGACACCAGGCTTGTCGTTGTATCGTCTTCATACAGAGCCAGGGTCGTGCATGCCTGGGATTTTTCCAGGTCCCTTGGTTATAGAGCTGCTGAATCAAGACGTTCTCTGTCCTAGAAAATCTATTCTTAGCTCCGGCTCCTGCAGCAGTGTTTGCCTCAGCTGGAAGTGTGTCCTCACACTTAGTCATTTCTTATTTTTCATCAGCTTGCTGCGAAATACAAACTATTTAAAGCTCCAGATTACAACTCTGAATTTACTTATTTGGTATTTTACAAAAGATGAGGTACAATAAATTTTACCTGGCTGTAAAAACAAAAAAACTATTTGAAAAGTGACCTTTGATTTGAACTTGATTTAAGAAAGAAAAATGAGATTTTCTTTTCCTTCATGTGTTGTGTCAAGGTCTATAGTGGCCGTGCCCACCTGTCAGTGTCTGATCCAGCTGCAGGCAGGGCGGCAGTACCTCATCTCTGTAAGAGCCGTCAACATTGGAGGTCCAAGTGACAGGAGTGATGCTATAACCATCTCCACAACTGGTAAAAACAGAAAACAACCTTGATGCTGAAAATCTTTTGAGTGATTTTGATAAGTAGAGGACACGATATTCTGATCTATTAAATTATTTTAAATATATATTTATGCTATTAACACCATAAACTCTCAAACATCTTTCTGGTTGAAAGTGTTAAAAAAAACTGTTGTTAAGATGTTGCACTTAACATCATTGCATTTAAAAAAAAATTATGTGGTTTCTATTATTTATTGAAAGATTTTCTCACTAATATTTTATAGATCCCAGCAGAACAGTTGTACCGTTTGCTATTTTTGCATAGAAGGTTTGGTCAGCCCAGGGTATAAGTGACCCAAGCTGCTACACAGGACCAAGACACCACTAGGGGGCCCTCAAGAACCCAGAACTTCTTACAGAGTCACAGAAGAATTCAGAGAACTTGCTTCAATACATAAGCTGCTTCTATTCAGTTTATCTTTTGGGCAAAACCTGTACAGTTACCTGGTGAAGCCGTGGTAAACCAAATTGACCGTATGATAACGTGTTTTGTTGAATAATTCATGAGGTAGCTTTAGATAAAGGTTTTCTGAATTAAAAGTTTTTTTTTTTTGTTTTGTTTTTTTGGCATTTTCTTTCTTTTGTCATTTTTAAACAGTTTATCCTAAGCCATACAATGAAATGGCTCGGGATAAACTATCTTGGAATTTTTTACACCCTTTTACCAGCAGGATAGGAAGCCATTACGATGAATACCTGAAAAATGTGCTTAATCGATCAGAAGTTTAAATCAGTTTGGCACACACAGAAAACAAACTAAATCTGTTGAAAACATTGTTTCCATCAAATGTTTTGTGAGCTCAGGCCCAAGCAGAATTATTTAGCTGTAAGTTGCTATGTCAGGTTGCATCTCAGTCTAGCACTCCATGAAATGTAACTGTTGGATGCACAGTGCTAAAACAAGGCATTTTAAAATGAATCTGTTAGAAAACAGATTCATTTTTGGAAATGGTGCCTCAAGTTTGTAGGTATCCTAACAAGAAATTTCTCATGTTATTATGTGATGACTGAACAGGCACCTTCTTCTACCTTCTGGAGGACACCGCTCATCCCTGTCTCTCCATGTCGGAAGACGGCTTCACTATATTCTATGGAGATGAGGAGTTGCCCATAACTGCCATGGCTTTTGAGGACAACACTTTCACAAGGTGAAGTGTCCAACAGTTGCTTGTGCGACATTGAAACGCCTTTAATGTCAAGCATGCGTGTTGTGCTCATGTACAGATGTGTAGCCATTTTGGGGGATCTGATTCCAGTGCGAGGCAGGCACTACTGGGAAGTGGAGGTGGACGATGAGACCGAGTTTCGTGTCGGAGTTGCATACGAAGACACAGAGAGGGACGCGTACCTAGGGGCCAATGGTAGCTCCTGGTGTATGAGACACATTCGCACCCCGTCCAGGTAAACGGTGCACAACTTCAGTCTGTCACGTTATATCCACGGGAAAATAAGGTCACCGATTGCATTTTGTTTAAATCAAGAATTGTTCTTAGTTTGACGCTTGTTTTCTGAATTGCTGTTTGGCTTAGGTCAAACATTGTCTTTGTTCTGGTGTACAAGTAATTACATTTAGACTCAATCGCATAAGCCCTGGTCTTTGTCCTCTCTGACAAACATTAGCCCTTGTTTTCCTCAAGAGAAATGGGTTTCCTCCTTGAACGTAGCATAAAAGTTAAACCCACAACAGTAGCAGGAACTTTCTGTAGATAATTTAAGAATGCTGAGTCATGATATTCACCATGACTCAGCTTCATCATGTGCTTCTGAACTCCATTTAAGTGAGACAAAGTATTTTGATCAGTTTTGTGAAATTTGTATTTCTCTTCCATAGATATTTGTAGGGTATTATATTTTTTTCACCACTGTGCATACCGGGCGCTTTAGTGGAACGTTTGAGTGTAAAACCTTTTAATAGTATGCTCAGAAATGTACTCCTTACTTTCATCTGGGCTCTTAATTTGCAATCCCATCAATTGTTGAAGCGCAGCAATTTTCCAACCGCAGCACAAGCGGAGGAAAATTAAACCGGCTCTCATTTTGACAGTACAAAAGCCCAAGCAGATTTGTTTTCATCCACTATCAGAATTAACGCGCTGATCCTCTGCAGGACTATTACTGCAGATCCTGGAAACTGGGCCAGGACTGTATTTTTAGCATTTAAAATTCCCTTTCCTAAGCAAAATACAAAAATGTGCATCAGCCCTGTGAAAGCCTGAGCTCAAAGGAACTACCATGAAATACCTTGTCATGCATTTATATAGCAACTGTATTTCATACAAGTCAGGCCCTTTGTCACATTTATCGAGTCACTCACATCATACAAGCTTCACAGGCGATTCTCCATTGTGGGCAGCTTGTTCGTTCTGCAAACGCAAATTTTTAAGTCACATTTCTTATTTTCTTTCATCTGCAGCCATTCGGGAGCAGTTGCTGGCTCAGTCTTGTACTTTCCCAGAGGCAGCCACATGAGAGAAAACCAAACTCTTCCTTCTAATGTTGCATTGTCCTCTTTACTTTTAGACACAAGTATGAGTTCCTGCATAATGGCTGGAGTCCAGACTTGAGGATTACAGTGCATCCAGTGCGTATTGGAGTGGCTCTCGACTACGACAGGGGAACGCTGAGCTTCTTCAATGCTAATCTGGAGCAGCATCTGCATACCTTCCACTGTCACTTTCACAATTATGTCCACCCGTGTTTCAGCCTGGACAACCCAGGAGCGCTGACTGTACATAATGGCGTACAAGCTCCCGACTACACCTTCATCTGACAGGACGTCATATAGTTAACCTCATTTTGCATTGTGGTGACATTAAATGTTACAACAAAAAAACATTTACACTGTGAATGTTCAGACAGAAATGCATCAATAAAAACAATATACTTTCTGAAGTTGTTTTATTATAGTATTCCATGGGAACAGGCATACACCATTTTCCAAGATAAGAAAAAGGTTTCACTGAAGTTTATATGCATTTAAACAATCTGTGATTGCAGCAAGGCCAGATGTCGAAGCTCAAAATGGGACTTTAACAAAAGTTGGAGGGGGAAAAAAAAAGAAAGTTTTTCTTTATTATACAGCTGTATTCACATCTTAGAGAAGTCCGCCCTGTGTACCTCCATACTTTGAGACGTGTGTAATGACTGAGATTTAATACAATTTGTTCTGTGTTAAAAGTTGATGAGGGCAACATTTAGAGTCAGATTAAAGTGAAACAAAGTTTAGCTTTTTTCAAAAGCCTAAAATGACATTTGACTACAAACAGACCTTGCTGTTGTTAGCTTCTGTATTTACATCAGCTTATAAAGTATTTTAGATTACGATATATCCAAACAAGTTTAACCTTACACTTGTGCAAGAGCATCTAGAGGCAGAGACGACAAAAACCTAAACATGGATGGACAAAGGAAATAAGAACCTCTGTTTAGACTAGTAAAGCGCTATACTTTGGGAATTTACACACATAATCAATATTCCACATACTGCATGTTACTGTTTTAAACCCGTCAGGTTGAGGTTCATTTGCATGTATGGAAAGTTTTACCTGATTTTTTGGCAAGAACCAAAACAAAGTGAAAACCTGTTCTTTTTGGAAGGATAGAAAGATAAACCAAAGAGGGGAAAAAAGGAGGTAAAATGTACAAATATGCTGGTATGGTTATTTCAGGGCAGACTTCTCCTTTCATGGTGTCGATATGGTGAGTGTTAAAACTTTTGGTCTGTAAAAATCTCTGGGACAGTGGGGGGTGACAGACGTTATAGGTTTTCTGTCTTACTGCTGTGTGTCCTCTCATCCTCTTCATCTGAGGAATCTCCGCCGTAGGGCACGAGCCCAGAAGTATCAACGCTCACTTTAGTCTTCTTCACCGACACCTCTTCCTCAACACCTGTAATCACAAAAAAAATGGAGAAAAAGAGAAAAAAAGGAAAGGTGGGAGACATCAGAGAGAAACAGGGGAGGTGAGGTGGGGGGAGCAAAGAGAGAGAGAACAAAACCAAATGGAAACCCAGTGAGGAGCCCCACATAAGGCGTGGTTTTTGAGTTGGTTTGATCCAGAGCCGGGGACGGGGGGAGGGAAGATATCAAAATCAAACGGCAGCACAGCACACATCCATTACAGGCACGTCCGGGGGACACATGTTGAGAGAGAGAACAAGGGAAAGACAAAAAACATATACAAGAAGAGCACGTTAGTGAGTTCCAGCAGTGGTGCGCTTCAAACAGGTCTCCACTCCTCCCCCATTGATCCACGGGGGGAGATGCTACGACATGCAATAAAGAACTCCACAGAAGTAAACGTCTGAGCTCTCAGACTCTCAGAGTATGTTGGAAGAGAAGAAGCGCATACCCGCAGACGCGGGGGCGGCTGGGGGCGGGCTGGCCGGGGCTTCTGGGGCGGCGTCCCTCAGCCTCTTGCGTGTAACGGGGGGAGGAGCCACAAACGGTGACGGAGGTGGAGGCATCAATATCCTGAAGAGATACGAACATTAACATCGTCCCAAAATCGACTTGAAGGAAATCTGAGAGAAAATTTGTAAAAATCCAACCTTTCTACAACTTTCTCCTCTCCTACGCTGGACGAAGGAAGCGTGGACTCCAGGTGAGCAGGGCCCTCTGGAGAGCAGCTGGCAGGCTACAGAGGAAGTCAGACATCACTTTAGAAATTTTAACTCATCATGAAAAGATTTGAAAGCTTGAAATTATCTATAGGCATTACTTTTCAGTGATTCCTACAAAAATGGGCTCATTCTTAAATGTATGAATTAGAAGAGGCCACCCTCACATTCAGTGTTTGATAAACACGATGGGAAGAGAGAGGTGTGATCTACAAAAGGTATGAAAAAAACTATTTTAAAAATGTGTAAGAGACTATGTAACCACTTCAAGTGAAATGGCATTGAGTTTCCAGATGCAAAGTTTTAGAAATCCTCATGAAACCCAAACTAATCCAAAACTTGAGCACGACCAGAACGAGCTATAACCAATATGTAGAGGCATCAGCTCTCCAGCTAACCTGTTCATCCTTAGCCCCCTCCTGGAAGTGATCTTTGGGACTTCCTGAGTCAGGGGGGGTGTTTATAGATCCTCCAGGCTCCACTGTCTCACTGCTGCACGGATCCTTAAGTAGAGCACAACCAACATATATACACTGCTGTGTGTGTGTGTGTGTGTGTTCAAAGCCTTGCAACACACACAGCCTGCAACCCCTCAGCCACACATTGGGTCAACTCATCAATGTTTTTATACATTTTGTTTTTATTCAGATGAAGTGCATTTTGATCTGAAATTAGAATCTTGTTTTGAGTAATTGAAATAGATTCATGACAGAAAGTGATATATAGGGGGGGCCATGGGTTAATTTCTCTTAATTTTGATGATTATTGATTACAGCCAATAAAATGAAAATGTCTGTATCATCAAATAAATACCCTTACAGTGAAGGACAAGGAGATACTTTTGAGTGGGCCAACACACCTGCTATCAAAATTTATTTTAACCGATTGCAATTTACAGAGAAAACTGATTACAGCCTGAAGGCTGTAATCTTCAACATTGACAGAAATAAAGACTTGGAATATAAACACTGGATGTAATTAATCCATATTATGTGGAAGTTACGCTTTCTGAACAAAAATAATATTAAACATTCTAATTTCCTGCAGTGCAAATGTGTAGATTTGTAGAAGAAAACTGATGTGACCGAAACATAAACACCGGAAAAATCTAGACATAAAAACATTTATGCGTGGAAGTTACCTGGACAAGAAAGGGATGTGGTTTCCTAGGACACACTGGATACTGAATCATTGCCTGAGAAGATGGAGATGGGGTTGTCGACAGGTTAGATTGACTTGGGGGGCCATTTGCATTACTCCAGTAACCACCGGCTCCTGGATACGCTGCATAGCCGCCAGCATACCCATTTGCTGGGTAGTTATACCAGGACCCCTGGCTAGAGTAACTGCTATTAGTTGGAAATCCATGTGCTGCGTATGCTGAAATGAAATTGTAGAATGTTAATTTTGAAGTAAATGGAGTATGGCTTACCAACTCAACCACTAATGATTCCAAGGGAATATTCTCTAATCACAAGAACATTGCAGCCGACCAGAATCTGATATTGGATAAACTTGTCGGAATTTGTCCAGTAGCAGTAATAGTAATACTCACGCTGTGTTGCGCCCGTGGCTGTGTACACTGACACCATTTGGGCATGTTCAGCTCTCACCTAATGAATAAAGATGAAAAATAAAGATAACTCATGAGTGACAAGTTTCATAGAGACAGAACTAATTTGTTGACAATAATGAGTCTGTGGGTAGGTGCAGAGCACAGATGATCCAAGACTCGAGATCAGGCGGTTCACACTACCACATTGATTTTGGAGGTGGGTATCAGTGGAAACTATACGCTTCAGTAGTTTCACCTTCTTATACCTCCGAATATATTCTCCAGCTCAGGTGAAAATTTTCTACATGGTGGCATCGTGAACTTACAGTTTCAAGCAGACTCTCTGTGAGTTTCTTAGCAGACTCTAATCCAGCTGCATTCGGGTGGCTGCGACACACAAAAGAGCTTTGTTGGACTAGAACGAAGCAGACTCAATAAAGGACTCGCAGACAGCAAAACAGAAGACAGTTTATCACTTCTGTCCACGCAGGAGCATTAGCTGCTCATTACCTTAACTGAAACCAGACGACGTTGATTACAATTTGTTTCATTTAAAGAGGAAAATCCTTCATACGACACCTAAAAGGTTTATGGGAAAGTCTAAGAAAGTGAACATACCTGATGTAGACATAAAGAGGCTCAAAAGACTCTCGTTTGGATGCCTGTTCGATGTAACCGGACCCTTTCCCCCTGAGGAAGACTCGAGCCCCCGTCTCGGTCTGGATGTGACTCAGGTACGAACCGGCTGGACCCTCGACCTTTTCCTTCACGTTGAACGAGGGTAACGCTTGGTCCAGGCCCACAAAGATTTTAGTGTGCACAAAACTCTGGGGGAACAAAGAAGAATAAATGGTGTCAATAATTATGTTCAGTTATGTTAGCTAAATATTTTTTTCCTAGAGGAAATAGAGCTTTTGTCAGCAAATGCAACTATCAAAGGTTTTTCACTCCAAACCAAGGATATTCTCTCTGCTAGTTGATTTTGGAGGCGAGTTTCAGTGAAGGCAACAAACTCCATTTGCCTCACTTTCTTTACCTCCGTTAAAAGGTCTGCTTGATTCTATAAAAATTAGCTAGAAATACATCTTGCACTTATTGCCATAAGTGCAACAATGGCTTTTGATTGTTTATCATTTTATATTTTTTTCTTTTTCACTGGTCTAAAAGATGTTTTATCTCAACAGAAATATCCCTGTCGTTGTGATTTGTACATGTTCCATCGATTTAACAGCTGTTACGTAATTTTCCCCACGTGAAAACATAAACAAATACAAGTGAGAGTGCGTTAACTCTGGGTATTTGACCAAAGGGAAACCTTGTTGTTTGAACCACAATAGAAATACGAGGTTTACCCACCCCTGTATGAGGAGCTGCTGGTCGATGTCCCTGGCCCGGCACAGAGTTTGCGTTGGGCAAACGTGGCACAGGAGTGGGAATGACGGGCCGAGGTGGTTGAGGATAAAGAGTGAGTGGTGGGATCACAGGAACTTGCTGTCCTCCGGACGCTGCTGAGGCTCTTATCACATCTTCAGAAATTATCTCCTTTATTCTCATCACAGCTTCTGAAACCCCAAAGAAGAAAAAATGTGAGAGATGGGAAGAAAAAAAACCTGACAGATGCATTATGAATCTTTCAAAAAATGAAATCAAATGAAATCAAATTTGCTCATTAAAAAAATGAGAATAATAATAATTTTACTTACTATTGACTTGCTCTTGTGTTTTTCCCTGAACATGTAAATACAAAGGTCTTTGTCTGAAAGAAATCAGATCACAAATAATAGGGACACATTTGCACTAAGCAACACTTTTCCTATAAGTCTAATGTGCACAAACTAAACTTTTTTCACTGAAAAATAAAAAAATTAACATTTCTACACTTGCACTTGACATCCAGTAAGATGGCATCACAAAAGTTTCAGAGATGTATTGCATGCAAATCTCAATTGTTTGAAAAAAAGGACTGCATGACACAAACTATGACAATATAGTAAAGTTAAAGTTCAAATACAGCATATATTTCCTATATTATCAAATGAATAAATCAAATGATTAATGTCCCAGGTGTTATTTCTTGTTTCATTATCTCAAAACTTCCTCTCCTTGTAACTATTATCCCATGTGTCTTTTTTCTTTTTTAAAGAAATTGCTAAAAATGTCAAAAGTTTGAAGAACTGATCATAGAAAATAAAACATTAAATTCCTGTGCAACATACCCTGCCGCTCCTTTTTCAATTTCAGGCATGTAAAGACCTTTAGTTGAGACAACGGCTCCACTAATTAACCTGATCTGAAAAACAGAATAAGAAATTACAAAAGTTACCAAAAAAAAGTTAGATTTTTATGTTTAATGCCAGTTTTCCACTTACTTCCTCTTGTGTTTTTCCTTTAGTAAGAAGTTCTCTGCAGTTTAGTGGTACGTCATTTATGTCGACCTCTGTGACCACCATTTCTTCTGCAGGGGTTGGTACAGGGATACTTTGGGGTTTCTTAATAAAGCAAAATATAGTATTAGTATTGCTAAAACAGAAAAAGGGTTCCTTCTAGATTTTGTTTTTAACTGTGCACCTTAGGAAGTAATGGTGGAGGAGTTAAAAGTTTTCCCTTTGCCATCAACATGGCATTTATTTTAGCAGCCATGGCTGCTGCTTTCTCAACTCCCCCTGTTGGTGTTTCTTCTGCCTCTGGTGGCTGAGAGGCTGGGCTCTTTGACCCGGTGGAGCCGACAACCCCTGGGAAGGCGACAGGGAGCGTGGCATTGCCAATGCTCTTCTGTTGCTGCACGTCCACACTCTTTTTAGGTTGTGCTGGTTGGTCCCAGCGACTTGTTAGGCAGCTGAAAAAACATACAGACACAAAAAAGTGCAACAGTTAAATTAAGATATTTCACACAATGCAGAGTTGAGCTCACGTTGACGTTTTCGCCATTTCGTCCTCCTCTCTCTAATGTAGTTTAGCACTACTATTTTACAGTAATACGTTTTAAAATATATGACAACCTGTGCAACTCTCAGCAATAAATAATATCCTTACCTTCTGAAATGTCAAGAAAACGAACCGGCTATTTAGCATTCCACAGACGCTGAAGCTAATGTTGAGTTAGCTAACACCTATTTGCGATTCTAGTTTAAACTGTTTAAACCACCAGTAGGCCAACAATAAATTAATATAGTAGCAAGTGGAATTAATCGTGAGGTATTGGTTCTGAACGGAAGATTTCAGTTGAAATAAAATTGCACAAAACCCCCCTGAGCTAACTTTTACTACTAGGCCAAGAAGCTGCTAGGTAGCTAACACAGCAGCTATCGTTAGCGTAGCAGGACGTGGCTAACGCGGCCTCGGCTTATGAGCTCGTTCTTCTACCTATCTCCAAAATAAAGTAACACTCACGGCGTTTGTCCTGTCATTCCCGAAGACATAGCACGACCCCGGAAAATATAAATGCTTTTAAAAAGTCTCTGATGTAGATTGTGTTAAACGACCGCAGCCATCAGTCCGATGTCGCCCACTGTTTCCTCTGACGACTTTGTCGCAAAGTCTGAGCTGACGGAAGTTGGGCAGTTTTAATGTTACGTAACGTCAGTCTGGAACAATCCGGCGGGGCGCTGACAGAACTGAACCGGGCCCAAATGTGACACAGCGGGCCAGGATAGACTTATTCCACCTTTTACAGTAAAACGTAGGTCATTGCGAAGAAAAATAAGTCTCAAAAGCACGTTTATTTGATATAATATATTATAATGAGAACAACGTTTTGTTTTTCAGTACTCTTGAAAAATACCACATCATTTAAATCTCTTTTAGTGGATCTAACTGGAAGAGAGAGAAAAATGCTATGGATCTGTGCATTTATATTCAAAGTCAAAAACAATTTTGTTCAAGAAAAAGTTTGTATCTATGCACATTTACATTATTCACTTCACGTAATAGACATCTAAGTTTGTACAGAGCTGAAGTATTGCAGTTTGCTATTTTGTTATGGATGTCTTGATGAAATACGGGATTAAATGTTAATGAATGTTGATTAAACTGATAATGAAGTAGCTGATTTTCTGACAGGTTACAGGTCAATGGAAGAGTTTGAATTTATAACAGATTCTGACAGATTTTTATGACTGCCTAATTTTTGAGTTTTCTTCAGGGAGTGCGTTAGAGAGGTTGCATGAAATCTGGCCGTACACATATATTTGCCAAACTAGACAAATGACTTATGAAACTGAAGAACTGTCAGTGGTTTGCTCTGAGTTAGAAACCAAAATAAAAACTCAAACTGACCTGAGTGAGATGAAAAATGTGGCTAAGCTTACAGATCAGAATTACACAGAAGTCCTTCAGAGTGTAATGTCTCTACTGGGCCAGGCCATCACTGAACTCTGTCCAGCCCCATCTTCCTTGAAGACTCCCTCACATGAAGATGATTCAGCCATGGCTGCTCCCAGTACATCAAAGATGGCAACCAAGGGTGCCACTCATCTCAAACCAGAAGATGTCAACCAGTACACATCACAATCTTCCGGACTTTCCGGCCGACATGGATTTATGGGTTGCACTGCAGAGTACAAACACTTATCTGTCGGTTATAGGCTTTTTTGAAGGTTCTGAACTTTTGAGTGGAGTGTGGGGCAGCATCACCTGATGGACTGTGGCTTCAAAACTCAATCTCACTATTTTACAATGCACTCAATGGCAAAAATGAGACAGAAGCTAAAAATGTTCTTGTGATTTCTGCCTTGGCGCATTAAATTCTGTAGTAGCTACCACTCATCATGGGAGTGCTAGACTCATTACCTCATAATTATTTAATTCATCCTCTAATAATCAATTTGCCATAGGATTTTCTGGATGAAGTCAGTTTTCCCCAGAGTAAATTATTTTTACATGTATTTTTTTATTCCAAGATGACGCCAAAGCTAATTGTGCTTAAGGAATTTCATTATGAGTCGGAGTTGAAACTGTGGCTATTTTTGACTGATACACAGTCATTCCTCTCGATAAAATTTGGATTTAATTTCCCTTTAAAGCACATCTTAAATCTTAAGTGTTTTATAGACTAAAGAGCTGTCTTAATTTGTTTCTGTTCATAAATCTTGCCTTGTACTCTCTTTATTGGAAAATGAATTCAGTCATCAGTATTTTCACAGAAATTAATGAAAAAGGAGATATTACATAGTAAATTTTTTATTAAGATTTTGTTTGTGAAGTGTGTATTTTGAAATTGAGTGAAATGATTCGACCTTAACAGGCATATGCAGAGGATGTTGCGAAGGAGGCTGAAGCCCCTGATGCCCCAAGTGCTCTTTTTGAGTTTCTTTGTTTTTTTATCTTTTTGTCAGAAGGCCTGTTTGTGGCCCTCAGCAAAAATATTATATAATAATTGATCAAAATAAACTAGTCTAATGATACTGAGGGTCCATAGTGAGAAGGGGATCTGTGGCTCTAACTACCAAATATACCAATGTATAAATATTTTGTTCATTTTTAAACCCTTTCAAATTTTAAACCTTATAGAATGATAAAAAAAACTACTTAAATGAATGGTTTTAATATACCATTGTCAATCTAAACTTAATATTTAACTATTAAAATACGTTTTTAACAAACTGCTTCTTCACGTCGAATTTGATACTCGTGGCCATCCGAGCGATTGTGAGTACGACGTCATCGATGACCAGATTTTCAACCCTCCTCCGGCTTTGAGTTAACCTCCCAACCTCCCGCACAAGACGCTACGACCGAAGAGAGGACTGACGTGAAGGACGGTGAGACTGCTTCCTCTTCCAACAAAAAAGGAATCACAAAATGATTCCTGTCGTCCGAAAGTTGGAACTTCCCCGACTGGGGAAGTTAGCGAAGCGTGCCCGGACCACTCAACTAGCTCAAAAACCGCCGAGAAAAAGAAGTCAGTCCACTTCGCTGAACTGCCCGTGCCGTACAAACACCAACGGCCGGGCTGTAATGTTTGCTATGAGGAGGACCTCAAAAGAAAACTTCGAGCTAGTAATGACGATGAGTGTTGTACTATTTGTTAACCGACGCCATTTTACCATTTAGTGCTGCGTTGAAGGGCCTTAGCTTCCTCCAGTCCATTCTTAACTGTTGCCAGTGTGTTGTCCGTTGAACACCGAGGTGTTTATATTGTTCCTCCATTTCTGGGAGGAACTTGATTTTAAAAAAGCAAACCTGACTGAATGTAAACCAGATGCGCCCGACGCTCAAAACACGTTTGGTAGGAACGCGCCAAAAGTGCTCACGCCTCGAGTTTTTGAGGTTTTTAACGTGTTAGGTGTGAAAGCGCCATTAGCATCTGAATCCTCATCTTATTAGCCAGAGTCGCACAACCGCCTTTAACTGCAAAATGGTTTTAACAAGCTTCTCTTCATTTGTTATTTCAATAAAGACAATTATAACCAAAAATGATTTTTTTATTTGTTTTTGGTACGTTTTAAAACATGCTAAAAAAAAGAAGCATTTTTAGGTTAATCCAGAAAAAACTAGACACTGTAATATAGAAGGAAGTGTTCTATGTGGTTTCATTTCTGGAATTGCAAAAAGAACAAAACGTTCAGAATGTAACTTTGTGACTTGAGAGCTACTGGTTCCTGGCAGAGAGAAGAAGAGAAGCAGTCTGAATTTCACAAATAATTTTGTTTGACGAAAGCAGAAATGTTGAGAATTTAGTGCAGGGACACAAAAAACTTTTAAAAGTAGATTGGCATGTCTTGTCAGCCTGAGTCCAATGGCAACTGTACAGGTAATAGGATCATTCTTCGCTACGCAACACAAAACTGACAAACTGTAGATAGTCTTGCTCACATATTATATCTGTTACTGTAGTCTGCCTACTAATGTATTTTGATATAGCAATGTCCTTTCCGAGCAGCAATATCAATAATTATTTCATTATGGATCATGCATGGCCATGTCCAATATCGTTATGATTCTGTTGCAGCGTCTTTAGATTATAAAATACCAGAGATATCAGACAGAATAAAATAATGCACACCAGTTTTGACCTACTTTGTACAACACACACTCATGTATGCACACAAATATGTGCATAAAGGTCCATCTTTACAAATAGCTGTGCTGTGCTAAAAACAAACACCCTAACGATAAAAACGCCTTTTCAGCAAGACACCAGAACTTGTTTTGAGTAGTTAATTTCTTAATTTTGATGAGAGAGTACTTGTCCTATTGTCAATTTTTTTCACTTTTAACATGGGAAAATGTCTTGTTTTAAGAGAAATAATTTGCCAATGGAACTGGTACTTTTTCATCAATATTAAGAATTAATTAACTCAAAACAAGCTCCCATATCTTGCTGTAAAGTTACTTCTAAGTTAGTTTTGTTCTATTTCAAGTTTTGTTCTATATCTGATGGATATCGTGATATCTGATGGATATTAATCGCTGTTGAGTATCGGTCACATGATCTGCTAGAGAGGCCACGGGGAAGTATGAAAGATTAGGACACGTCATTCTTTTTCCTTAATTATTAAAGCTCAGGTTTGTAACATGACAAAAGATTAACACCCTTAAAGGCTATGAAAAACGTTCACAAGGGACAGTATGTGTCATTTTGTGCAATACGTGAGAAAGAACAGATGCCAGAAACAAAACTGTTGCAGGAAAAACACTGCAAGGATATAGTTGACATTTTATTTTTCATTGAATAGGTTCTATTTTCCCCCCCGTGCCTTCAGACCAAAACGTGAATCAGAAGGAACAAACAAATCCCCTGATTAAGTGTACAATTCTGTCATAAGAAACAAAATTAATTGTGGTTAATGCATCTCATTAACCAGTAGTTGCTTAGCTGTTATGGCATTTATATACTGTTTAAAGAGGAAACCTTCTTAAGAAGCATCAATCTTTTACCGTAGAAATTAGTATCCTAATCTGAATCCAACTTTGAACAAACAAAACAAAAAAAACGATGTTACCCGGGTCTGTGCATAAGGGTGTTGGACGATTGGCCAAATATAGAGATGTTTTGATCAAAAGAAAAAACAAAGAAAAAAAAATCAATGCAAGCTGGCCTCCAGGAGACTGCTTTAAAGACAGTGATAGACAACTCTGTGATCCACATTCTGCTTTACCATTCAGCTCTCTATGCGCACGCTCTGTGTGGCTTTCTCCTTCACAGGTGTTCAGATAGCTATTATGGTTGATCTCATCTGCTGCAAATCCAGTGTAAAATTCATTGTCTATAAAAATATTGAGATTTACTTGAGTGTAACTTTCTGACTGTTATAAGAAAAACTTCAGATGTCCATTGCAGTTGCACAGTGGGATGTACTGTATAAATATTGTACAAAATAAGGCAGTCTTTTTCTTCTTCTTCTTCTTCAGTAGGACAAACCAGATACAAAAAATTTCTGGGAGGACAAAAAAAAAAAGATCAAGTCCAAAACGATTTTCACATATTTCTGCTGCTGTTGTCAAATGTCAAGCGGTTTTACAGCATCAAACCAGGAGTATGGGACTGCTGCAACAATGAACACACCCGCGCACTCACACACCAGCGACCAAAAAGAAGAAGAAGAAAAAAAACAAAAAAAGGAAAACCAAACTCCCACATGCGTTCACACAAGCAGACGATCTCCCGATGATCAACAGAAAAACAGCTTATTCTCCAACACAACATCCCATTCCTGGACAAATCACTGAGACGTAGATGCTTCTAATGTTGTATACAGTGCAATACAAAAGGGTTCATTCGTTTATTCAAACTGGTACTGTACTCTTGATAAGAAAACAAAATGCTTAATAATAGGGTCGCATGAATAATAATTGTAAATTTTTGAGCGTAGTAGTAGTACTCGTCTTTAATAGCTTTGGCTTTTTGTCTTATTCTAAAATTCATTCTGCTCTTACTCATTGACTAATTTGTGAATTTTATTATAGAAAACATGGAAATTTAGAAAATATTAGCACACTAAATAACCTGTAATTTGAGTTTTTTTTTCTTTTTATTCTTTTTTGCCGTCTCTCAGCGGTAGCCTGGGACAAAGGTCCACTCCTGACCCATGAAGGAAGCATCCGCTCTCATTTCTGTTATGACAGCCGTGTATCAACTTTGTGTTTCTGAAGGACACGTGGAAATATTGCCTGAAAAACAAACGAACAAACAAACAAAAAAAAGCGATGGAGTGTACTCCAATGGTTTCTAGGAGCGGCTCTGCCTCGCTGCCAGCGCAGGAGCTAGAGGCTGAAAAAGTGATTACATGGCCTTAAATGGACTAGACACAGTTTTTTAGATGCTAACAGCAACTTCACAGGCAGACGGGAGTGCCTACGCGGTAGTCAGACGATGGATGCTTTGCCACAGAGACCAGTGGGGACCCATCCCCTCAAATCCCCCCCCCGTCCTCCTTTCAGTCAGTGACACTGCGAGTGCCTATGAGGCACAAGAAGTTCATGAGGATGCTGGACGTCCGTATCCGACGGTTAACAGTTCCCATCCGACAGTGAAAAGCCAGCAGCGCTTCGGCAGTGTCGGGAAGTCTCTCTGTGCGTTTTTCTGCTGTGGACGGACATGTGGGGCGCTCGGCGTGCTACAGAAGCAGGAGAGTGAAGGCGAGGAGGCCCCTGTGCCGCTGGGCTGGGCTGACGGGGGGAAGAGGCGCCCCAGCAGGAGAGAAGAAGGTTCTGCACCCGGCTTTCCGGGGCTGAGTAGCCACAAGCAGCTACTCCGGAGGCGGTCGCAGGGTGTGCAGCTTTCGATCGTCAAGGCCTTTCCAGTACTTGAAGTTGTTGTCCAAGTGCTGCATAAGATTGGGGAGGTCTGCAAAAGCTGGGGAGGAGAGACAGGAGGCGGCGTGAGGCGTGTGATGAAAAAACACAAACACCACCCTTACCTTCTGTCTCCTGAGACATGCAGCAAAATTCTTATTTTTACACAAATCTCAGTGGGACCTTGTAATCCAATTCTAAAAATCAAACCATCATAAGAAAGGCTGTTAACTGCACGGCGTTTACATGTAAGGGATCGTGTGTGTGGCAGCGAAGTTTCTGGGGAAAAGAATTGTTTCTGTTTGCATTTTTAGAATTTAGTGAAACAGAGAAAATGTCTTTCAATCCAAGACACGTTTGATTAAAATCTGGCAGACAGATCAGATGTGTAGCATATAATGCTGCATTTACACCAAAAATTACTACAATAGACTCAGTCCACAGGGTTGTTAGGAAGTTTAAGAGCTTTTCTTATGCGTCTCTACGGGACAAATAAAATTTTGGAAAATAGCGGCAGCTAAGATATTAAAATTGCAACGTTGCTATAATTCAAATATCTAATTGTATGCAATTATCTTACATATGATGGCAAACAGCAAGTTTCCTCACTGTGACACCAAGCATATGTACAGAACACCATAAACCAATTAGTAGCTTTGATATATTAAAGTGAAATGAAACAACACAGAGGTAAATTTTGGACAGAAAAAGTATTCAGTACATAAATTTCACCTTGTAAGCACATCTTAGAATTAGATGCATTAATAGTTAATGGTCTGATTGGTGTTTGGAAGGTCAAATGTAAAAGAAGAAAAGAAAAAAAAAGCAGGATTTCTTTCCCTATCGCAACATATTTGGTCTATAAATCTTCAATCTACAGCAGGTGCTTTGACAAATGCTTTAGAGTTTGGTAAACATTAAATAAAGAAGGGACATTTGTTAACAATGCAAGTGGATAACCTTGTAATTCCGCCATTTTCCATTTATTTCAAAACTACCATCTCCATTAAAAACCATGTGGGGCGGAGGAGTGACCAGCAGCTCCAACCTTTATAAAAAAATATAAACAGGTGTTGGCAAGAAAGGTCTCATCGGTGCATCCTTAGTTGGACAATCCCTTAACTTTGACCCAGATGGATTTCCTACGGTCATGCCTCTCATTTCTTTCAATCCACCATAAACTGGCTTTCCAAATTACATTTGAAAACAGTCAAGGAATTGTAAGGAAGTAAAAAAAAAACATGTTTGTACAGCGGTTCTGTTTATGTGATGCCGTGTTGTCTCACCATCCCATGCATCAAACATGTCTGTGATGAAGTAGTCTATAAAGGAAATCTGGGACTTTGGGATGCTACACGTGTTTCTGTCAAACACAGGCATGACCACTGGTAGGCCTTGTCTCTTCTCCTCATCCGTCTGCGGTAAAGACAAGAGCACGAGTCACCATCATGTCCGACAACACTGAAAAGTCTCTTCAGAACATTTGGCATCTAATTCTAGAAATTGTATGAACAGTCCTTAGTAAGCGTATTTACCTGTGCAAAATACTCCTCTGAGATGCGGCCGGCCCATTCTATGCAGAGCTCCAGGGGCCTGCACGGATTAGAGATGTCTGCACACTTGATCAGCATCCGCTTGACGAGGATACGGTTCTCTGGGGACGTCAGGACGCTTTTGACGGCCTCCTCGTCACTGTTTCCCTAAACACAACCAACGCAGGATGTTCAGGTGAACAGAACTCTAGTGCTCCAGATCCTTTTAGATGAAAACGTATACTCTGATAAGTCCAGAGTACATACTGGCTGTTTTGCTTCGTCAGCCTGTCTTGTTCATTTGAGTACACTGGACTCAAATGCAGTGCGATAAAAATTTATTGGTGTTAACTTTGTCTTTTAAAATAAGGCCTAAAAACTGGGGAGTAACCATCATCTCAGAAGTGAGGGGGCGAAAAGAAGTGAAAGTCCTACTAGCAAATTGTGAAAAGTGAACCTCATAATTTAATTTGAACACAGAAACTGACGGCGCCATGTCAGGTAAATGTGACAGCACAGATGTGCAAATTAATCAAGATAAATAAAAAGTGAATGCCCTATATCTGCTGCCTTTTCGAACACAAATAATAGCTGACAATAATTTTAAAAAGTCTAAAAATAAACTAGACATTGCCTTCTCGCTGTGCTTCCTATAACCCAGTCAAAAATAGTTTGGAGAGCGAATGTGTGTAATTCTGAAATATCTATGAAAACCCTGTTCAGATACCTGCCTGGTTTCTTCCTGTAACAGATCTGATTTTCTCATCACGTTAAAATCCCTCCTTACCTCAGAAGATCCTGCATCTCTGTCCCTGCTGCTGGTCTCTGGACTAATGTCTGCTCCCTGACATGACTCATTCTCTTGTGAATATAAAGATTTATTTTGAACCTGTGGGAAGTAACAGTGAGCACAACTTCTGTGCATAAACGAAAGACAGCTTGGTTTATTCCTGGTATTAACGAACTAGCAATGGATGTAAATAGATTATAACAGTTTGTGTTGTTAACTAATTTAATAAGACATGCTGGATTAAGTGGTCAACATTTTGCTATCTGTGTGCAGCAGCGTCAGCTGATCACTTTACTCGGTTTGTTTAGAAGAAAAGTGCAAAGTTGAGCTTTTATCCTTTTTGGGTCTGGCTGGTTGCTGCACATGGCAGACCGTGGAGCTCTGCATCAGGTTCTGATCAGCGATCAGATCCACAGGCGCAACAGGCATCAAGCTCGTGGTGCGTTTAAAGACAGCTCGGAGAATCACCTTACCACATCTTCACAACCGTTTGAACAGAAAAAAAAAAGTGCGGGGGACATGTCCCACGCGTCTCTTACGCCCATGCCTGAAAACATTTTAATATCCATGTTGAGCATTCCGCACAGAGACGGTAAAGATAGAACCAGGTTGTTAAATTCTCCCGCTCTCCAACACAAGAACCAACAGGTCGTTCAACCGCTTAATATGATCCCATCGTCATTTAAAATCTAAAATCTTTGTTGACTCTGCTGCTGGTTTATGGATCTCTAGAGACAGAGTCAGACATCATGTTTCTTTCTATTTCAAAGAAATCAGAATGGAAATTTTGTAATGTTACTTCTGTAAACGCAATTATTTAATAAGTATTTGTCATTATAATAAGATCACAGTGTTTCATCGCGATATCATGCTAAACCTCACCCCGTTCTCCTCCAGAGCGGCCAGCGGCTTGTTGATGCTGTTCACAAACTTGTTGACGTGTTCAAAGTGTTTGGTCATCTCCGTCGCGAGGACCATGTCTATGACGGCCTGGCGTAACGATCGATACTCGTTCCTGAGGAGAAGAAGAAGACGTCAAGGCGGTGAGGGGGACCGATGGGAGGAGGAACAGAAGGAGGTAGGGACAGCGTGGTGAGCGGCATGGAAACCCTTGTAAACAGTTTTCTCCTTCTGACGACAGTGACGGTGGTGATGAATGGCTGCTTTGTTCGTCGCTCCCCGCCCCCCCTTCCACTCCTCCAATGGGACCAGCACATGTGAGCTATTCTGTTTTGGGGTTCAAATCACATTACTGTCCCGCCAGTGCTAATAAACAAACATGCGCACAAACACACTGTGATCTTTCATCAGCAGAAATTCAGACTCGCTTTGCTGCCTGTTGCCCTTCCTAACAGAAGTCGCTCCCAAAGATTTATGAATAATGATGAACGCACTCCATTTAAATGAATCAATAGTGAATAACACCAAATACAATCTGAATGTGGACATTTTTGCAACACAGAGCAAAACAGAGTCTCAGCACAAAAGCTGCCAATTGAGACATTTATTTATTCATTTTTTGCTAAGACAGTTATGCAACATTGCTGTAAGAATGTTATTAAGAGGCTGCAGCCACCGACTCAGATGATATTTTCTAAAACTATACGTAAAGGTTTGTGTAATAGGCCTTTTTGTAAAGATCTAAAATTATTTTTTAAAAAACATCACAAAAGATTTCCAAGCAGAATAATTTCTTTCTATTATCGTCATGCGTGTCAATAATAAATAGAATATTATCAAAAAGTTAGCTTACTTCAGTAATTCTGTTCAATGTAAAAAAATCCCAGATTCACAGAGTAGTCTGCTTTTAAATCATTGTGTGCTCTTAATTTTGATGACTGTTGATGACTGAATAGTTGTGGTTAAATTAAAGGTTGAATTTATCTAAACTTTTCAGTTTTAGAATAATTCATGACAAATTCATTTAATGCCTTTGTACAGCTTTACAGTGAGATGTGACAATAAATACATCATCAGATCTAGATTTAAGATTAGATGAGAAAACCTGCACTACTTTATCTGATTTTAATCTTGTTACACCTCTGAAACATGGATGGTCTAACAACACTACACCTGAACTTGTGATTTTTTGAAGAAAGGCCTGAAGCATGTTCTTTTTTGTGATATCATTAGGACGTAAATACAAATATACTCCCTCAACAGGATGTGGATTAACCCTTTTAAATTTAGCACGAGTAGAAAAAAACCCCCCAAAATCTGGAGATTGTTTTTTTTTCTTTAAAGAGTTGTGTGGCTTTTATTTATTAGTATCTCAGAAGAAAATCTGTGCCGTTTTTGATTGTAGAACTTAAAAAAAAAAAAAACAGTTTTAAGATAATCTTCTCTGATTACCTTTCTATGTGTTTGAAGATGTTGCACTTATCGTCTCTGGTGGTGAGCTGGAAGGCCAGGGCAGCATGGTGGCTCTCTAGCACAGCTGTGTCGTTGTAGAGAATGGCCAGCTCACTTCCTGCGTTGCACAGGAAGCTGTTGGTGCGGCCCGGGTGGTCAACATCGTGCACGGTGGCGGCAATCAGAGCAGCCACTTCATCAATGGGATCCAAACTTTGCTGTCAGGACAAACAAGTTTTGATTAAGATTAGATTAAAGACTGAGAATAAAACACCTGACTATCTTTGAAACTAAAGGTGATGATTTAAGCCAAAAGAATCACTGTACTCAACAGTTACGCTGCATGCGGTGGTTATGTGCAGGTCAGCGGTTCCGCTAAATAAGGCAGTGGCTAAGGCAGTGGCTTCTCTTTTTCTTTATCAAAGAACATTTGACTGCAGCACAATTGTCCATTCGGGCACACATTCGAAAATAATGGCAGCATTGAAGTTCTTGAAGTGCAAGTGGTCCGTCACGCAAAAGTGACCTTCAGCACAAACGTTGACCTTCAGCACAAACGTTGACCTATGGAATTCCTGGGACTCATTAACCTCGTGTGATGTAACTTCACAGTTCACCGGCTAAAGCCTGGAGAGATCACTGGGCCGAGATCAGAAATAGATGCTTTGGGTAATCGGCTTAACGAGTCCCAACTGTCAACACGTTACTGAACCACTGACACACTTGGGCAAAACCGTGACTCTCCAGGATTGAGAAGAAACTGATGGACCCGTTATATCCACATTACCTTGTTCTGGCAGCCCCAATAATATGTAGCATTTAGGTATAAACTAGGTTAAGGTTAATAAGCATCCCCACACCATGACGCTGCCACTGCCATGTGTCACGGGGATTCCTACGCTCAGAGTGATACGGGGAGTCAGTTTTCCACCACCTGTTACATTTTGTATGTTGGCAAAAAAGTTTTAATTCCAATCTCATCTGACAAGAATGCCTTCTGCTACATGTTTTCTGCGTTCTAACAAAGTCTGAAAGTTTCACCTTCTATAAACAGTCACTTTCTTCTTGCTACTTTGTGGAGTAGGCATTATCACAGTTTTCCTTCCTTGTTGGCTTGAAGTTGTGCCGTACACTTCATTTTGAGATGATGGACACACCAGAGTCTTGTGAGATGCTCCAACTCTGCTCTTTGCACTTAATGATGCAGTTTGAACATTTATGTTCCCAAACAAACCTCAGACCTTTACTGTACAGCCAAATTTAAACTGCAAAGAGATTGCATACAAGTATGCACTACTTTGTGTCGGCACATTCCAATCCTCCATCCTCCCAAAAAAAGACATCACTATAAAACACACTGAAAGTTGTAGTTGTACCATGGCAAAACGTAAAAACTTCACGGGTTAGGAATACTTTCACAATTTAATAAATAAAAATACTGTAGTTTTAAGCCACAAACTAATGCATTCAGTTTCCAAGAAGCCAGACGTGAGTATAACAGAATATTATGCAGACTATAGAGTAAAGACATGGCAAGCAAAATGTAGCATCAGGCCTAAATGAACACTTGCAACATAGGAGAAATTAATCGCGTTAACGCTTATGAAATGTTTTTTTTCCTCCTTGATTCTCTGGGAATCGTTGTGTTGGTGCAAGAAAAAAAATAACTTTTATGGAAAACTATTATTGGTATTTTTCATAGGTGCCACTACAGAATAGGAAACAGATGATTTGCAAAAAAGTGCATAAATGTCCCATTTGAAATGATGAGTAAGCAGCCAAAGTCCAAGAAAAACTTCACAAGACTTTCAAAAAGTCTAAATGTCTCAAGATGACTTTAAGCAATTAACAGAAAGCCAGACTCTTTAAATAATAACTTCAAGAAATGAAAGCTACACAACTGCAACATTTCAAGAATAGCAAACTTTTCTTGATTTCGTATTATTATTTAAGAAAAAAATATATAAATTGTCAATTATGTGCATTCAAAATGTTATATTTCCCATTTTACCTTCACCCTCTCCTTGGAGAGAAAATATGCTGTAGCATGCAGGACATCAGCCGCATGGGTGGAGTTGTGGTAGGAGTTGCTGGAGTGGTAGTTGGCTTCAATCACTTGCAGCCAGGAGCGCAACGTAGCTTCAGGGCAGTTTAAAAACTCGCACACTCCGAAGCGGGAGAAAATCTTGAGGCCCAAGAAGGTCAAAGGCCTGCAGGAGGATTTAGGGCGGCGGGTTAGCACAAACCATCAGTGAGAAAACTCTTTCCACAACAGGAAAGCACCTGCGGTCATCCTTTAAGATTGGGAGGTCTCACCGTTTCATGGTCGCAGCCTCCAAGCTAAAGATGTCAAAGTCCCACGAGTCCTCAGTTTCCATGGTCTGAGCGATCCGAGGGGGGATGTCGTTCAATGAGAGAGGGGTCGCCAGGTGACTTGGCAGATGGTGGGGCTCTGCGAGCAAAATCAAAATCAAAATAGGAGAAAAGCAAAAACAAAACAAAAAATCTTAGCAAACAGAGCAGGGGGAAACGCAACCCGGTAAAGTTTTGGTTGCGGTCAACCGTTTATGTAAACTCACGCTTTGTGGCGAGGATGTATTCGTTCCCTGACAGTCTGCGTAAACCATCCTGTTCAGAGGAGAAACGAGAAGGGAAGCTTTAGTTTGCCTTTTTGTAATCATTAGATTAGGGGTTCAGCTCAGAGGGAAGATCATCAGCACAAACTATGGAAGGAGGATCATTCCAGACGCCGCCGTAGCCCCGGCTGAGACATTAAGTGCAATCGCACCAGATATAATACAGAGCCCTTCATGCAGCCCAATGATACAATCATGAGTTTTATGAACTCTGACAGTGGAGTCAGGAATGACACCGTGATTATTTATGACTGTATGTTAACCAATCTACAGCAAATTATTTAACTTGGTCATTTCTCTTCCTTTGGGGATTCCTGTATGTTGTTACAGCAAATGGGGCTTATCAGAGGGGAAATGGGGCCTCACCCAAATAATCAACCAAGCAGAGGGAAGTGTAATGATCAGACTCTCTAAGGACTGTGACTCATACCAGCTGTGTGTAACAGATGACTTGCTAAGAATTTGGACATCAAGAGAAACGATTACGACCTTTCCAGTGCTTGTTGTGTCTGAAATTTTGAAAATGCACTTTAACATTAGAATTCCCAGATGTCTGAACTGTAACAGAAAAGGTCTTCCAAATTGGATTCTTAATTGAAAAATCCAAAGTACAACCACTAAATGAATCAAGGTTTCCACGTGAAATTCATGTGGTTTATCCTGCAGATATAAGCAGTTGAAAAGGGGGAAACGGTCTCATCTGATCAGTTCCCATTTTCAATAAAACATGTACAAAAAACATTGAAGAAAATATGAACAAAAAAAAAAACTTATTTAGATATTTGGGTTCTGATAAAGTTGACTGGTGTGCTGTAGCATTTATGTTGGTTTTCTGTCAGACTTGTTCCACACAGCACAGGTTACAGTACACACTGGGTGTTAGCGAGTGCATGGGTGTGTGTCACAATGGGAAATGTTTACTTCACAAGTGCAAAAGGAAGAGGAGACTGGCTCATCTTTGACCCATGCATTGTCTCGTGGTGCTGCTGCCTCACTACTATTTTAGGACTTTTTCTCCCAAAAAAAAAAAAAAAAAAGAGCAAGAGAGAGAGCTGCCTTTTTTCCCCTCAATCTTCATTTGATCGACTTGATTCTACCACGTGAGCTCGGACAAACCGCCCAGCGTAACTCCGGCTTTTATCGCTTCTACTGAACAAATCTTCCTAGGGATCGAGCAGCAAAGCCATTGCTTTGTCACAGAGGAGTTCATGTAAAAGTAAAGCGTGTTCATCTGGTCCAAAGAACAGGATGTTTCTGGGCCTGTGGTCGTGGAGAGGAAAACGAATGTCGCTGGGTGTATGTGAGCAGAGACAGAGGGAGAGAGAAAGGGCAGGGTGGGCTTTCCTCTCCAGCCTACAGGAGCACAAAGGACAATCTAACACTTCCTCTGGGTTTGTTGCCAAGACTGCCAACTTGGCACTACTTCTTGTTCTTCACCACTAGTGTCTGGTAATCTTTCTTTGCGTCCTCCTCTTTGGAAATAATAATTAAAGAAAATAATCACACACTCCTGATCTTATTATTACTACAGATCACAGTTCACGCCCCAGAAAAACGGGTACTGTCGCTTACCAAGTGTGACAATGACCGAGAATCTGCAAAAGTGTTTGTCACTCACCGTCATCAGCCCCCCGACGAGGTCGCTGGTGTGTGGATCTTCATCCTTGGTGCCCAGCTGTGGGGAGTACAGCTCTGTGGTCCTCAGGATTTCCAGCACCCGGTCTAAGGCCTCTGCCACAGGCATGGGGCTGCTTTCCTGTGCCTGGTTTATGATGTTTATAACCTGATTAAGGAGAGAAAGACAGCCATATTAGTTGGAACAGAGCAAGAAACACTAAAGCAGACTGAAAACGTGAGAATATTTAAATTTTCTGGCTGGACCGGGGAGAAAAAAAAAAAAAGGCAAAAACAAAGCCAGAAAAACACTTTAGCCAGCACCACTATATAGCATGTGGGTCATTTAAAGCCTTTGGACTCTAGCTACAAACAGCCCGTTCCTGCTGTTTCACGCAAGGAGAAAAGGGTCATAAAATACAGCTGAGCAGCCATGGAAAAACCACAACAACAGCCGCAGCAACAATTCCAGTGTTTTATCGGTAACTTTCCTATTTTTTATCCCACATGATTTTTTTGTTGTTGTTTTTGTCTTGTATGTTGCTGAGTAAACATGTCGGGACGTCCCTGTGACTCCTCAGAGCTGATACTGCTAACCTGTGAGGCAGGAAGGAACAGGCAGTTATTGACATATAGATGATCGATAGAACTTTCAGAACAAGCGTCACGCCTCCTGCACAGACATGGGACCCGCTAATTATGACCGCAAACGAGGACGTCTCGGTTTTAATTAGCAGAAAAATGCTGATGCTTCTAAATATGTGGCCTGAATTGAACGAAAAGAAATGGCAGCTACAGATATCTGGGGGGGGAAACAAAACAACAAAACCTAATTTTGAATAAAATAAGCACAAGAAATTTGGCTGAGAATAAAGAAATAAAAATCCCCTGAGGCCACGGCAGGCCAACAAAATGTTTTTCTAAATGTTATTACTCATATCTCCTTGCATATTATACTGATCAACCTCTTTTTGAAGCTGATTGAACAAGGCTTTTCTTTTTAGAACAATCACAGACCTGCAAAATATTCTTCCAAATGTTGCTTATTTTGGACTTATTCAAATTTCAGATTTCTATCCCTTTTGTTATCTAAGGTACAGGTGCCAGTTGTATTGGAAATGAAAAAACAAACAAAAAAAAAACGTTAAAATGTCCAGGGAAGCACAAATTTTTAAATAAGGTAAAAGGTTATTTCCAGCTCTTGAATAGATAAAATCTCTAACTAAAAATAATTTAAAAAAAAAAACATGTAAAGATGTGTATCCTTTCATAACCCAATTGCATTCTCTCAATAAATGTCTGAAAAGTAATGTCGGCTCTAACAGTTGGCACCAATGGCAAGGTCATCAAAGCATGTAGAAAAACACAAATTTGAACTAATTTGCTTGCGCACATCCCCACCCCCAACACACACACACACACACACGCATGTGCGCGCACAGCCAGCAGTTGTATCACCGCTCTAATCTCCGGAGGACGACGCCCACAGGGATCGACTGCACAGTCAAATGATACAGCAGAAGAACCGCAGTGTGTCATATGACCCCCTCCCTGGGGACTTGTGCTGCGTCAGACCATCCAAGCTACACAAACCGCTTAAAACGGCGGGTCATTCCGATCCAACATGCTCCTACTTGTCTTGTGCATGAAATGTGGCATTTTATCAACCCATCTCCACTTGAAACAGCCAGTGTGTCGGCATGGATGTGTGTGTGTGTGTGTGACTTCTACACTCCATTTCGGTGATGGTACAAGAAGGGCTCATGGCCTTTTTTAGCACTTTTAGAATACAAGTGTGTAGTCATGAGACGGTAAGAGATGATCATATGACGGAGGCCAGGAGGGACGGAGGGGACTGGGATGAACCCACCTTGGTGATGGGAGCCTCTATAGTCATGGAGTGAATTCGGGCCATTGAGGAGTGTCTTCTCTGCGAGCTACCTGTTAGGATCGAAGAGAGAACATCTTCAACGGCAAAATGAGGTGCAGATTTTCCAGCCATGCCCTAATTAATGTGTTGCGTGTATCCAAACAACGCGCAACACAAACACAAACAGCTGGGCAGGTTTCGTAAGCAGACAAGAAGCAGAGTGTTTCCATCATCTGTGTCCCTTCACTCTCACCATCGCTCCCCCGAGACGTTATGGATTTGACATCCAGAGAGCCTTTCCTCCGGTCTTTGTGCTTATTGGATTGTATATCTGGAGGAGGGAAAACACTTTGCGTTATTTACATCAGCACATTTGGTTCACATGCTTTGTTTGCACATCACCATGTCTTTGCATATCTGAGCAGAACGTAACCTTTTTTGGGGTTTTTTTTTTCCTTGTGTGTGTTTTGCTTCTCTTAAGCTTGGTGTGAAGAGGATTTCTGTGTACATATATATAAAACATATATATGTATCTTAAATTTCTTTTTGGCAAATGGAACAGAATAACTAAACCAAACTAAGTGAACTAAGCGAAGTAAACTGGAAGGTTTTTGCTTCACAAGAACCTGGTGTTAGTCTGTCTCGTGTCTTTAGAAATGACTAAAAACAGTTAACTACATGTTTTTAATATACGGACACCAAACCTTTCAAACAAAAGTTTCATCAAAGAGTGCAGAGAACATTTATTTGTCCTGTTTATTGTTTTTTTTTTATTATTATTTGCAAGGAAAATGTAAGAACATTTTTTTTACCAGTCATTATATTTAGAGAAAACCTATCACCACAAAATCACTAACATTGATAAAATAAACGTAAATGGTGCATGTGGAGTTACCATGAAGTATAATAAAATTGATTACAAATATATATATATTTTGAAAACTTTATGCAGCATTACTGATTCAGATGAGTAAACTGTATTTCATATTTCGTTTTTTTAACACTTTTGACAGAACAATCAGTTCTGCTGCAATGGACGTTTTACTCTCAACCCTTTTACAGAAAATGAAACTTTGTTTTCTTGAGCATTCAGACAAACCTTTTATGGACATCTGGCTTTTCATAAAATAAAAAAAGAAGAACAAAAATGACAACAAATAGCAATTGAGTTTTGTGATTTGTTTATGCACACAGGCATAATTAAAGAGCAAGCACTAAAAAAACTGCAAAGTAAATTTAATGATACGAAGCATATGCCAACTGGGGACGACATAAAAACATCAGGAATTAATATGACCAGCAGGATGTGGAGATTTTGTCAGCTGAGGCTTGAATTTTGATCCAGCAATTCCGATCAGACAGCACAAGGTGAAAAGGTGCCGCAGAAGAAACGGAGTGAGATTTAATGCTCTGGGACAACATGCATTAAAGCTCCAGAAACAAACAGAACAGAGCCGCTGACGCAAACCGCTGAGAGATACCATCCCTGTTCACTGTTTACTTGTCGGACGTCGAGCAGCTGAGTTTTGTAATCAGTCACAGCGACGGCTCCTTTTTGCATTTGATGCCACGGTGCAACAGGGAACAATAGACAACGTCAAAGTACTTTTTCCAAGGTCCACTAAAAGTAAGATTGAAGTTATTTTCAAGGTTATTTCTCAGAAAGCTGAACCTGACATAACCACTGACTGTCATTTCTCACACGGTTTTAAACCCAGCGCAAGTGTGTCCTAAGTTATTTAATGTAAAATAATAATAGTAATTTTAAAAAAGGTGCTAGGATCTTCAAAACTAAAAAGAATAAATATGTCATCTTATCCTGCTGTGCAAAAATGGAAATATTTTCAAGAAGAAATTATGCGAGCTCATACAATTTACATTCATTTTCAAAGTTTCTGTAAATACAAAAATATATACCGGTAAATAACTTGCTGATTAATTTTACATTTATTTATTTATTACATATTTAGGGGATAAATATTAATTTATTCTGTTTATTTTGGGTGTTTTTTGACATTTATTTATTTATTACATTGTGTAAAAAGGAGGTGAATCTCTACCACAAAGAGCTTAAGAGAGGTCTTAAAAATCTGATGTTTATAGAAACACATTAACTTAAGAATCTCACCTGTTTGTGACTCTGCCTGCACACGATCAGCGGATTTATCACTCTGCACAGACAAATGAGAAAGACACATTGACACGTGCAAACAAAATAAACCCTTCTCATTGTTTACTACTTAGCAAAGACGCCAATCTCACCTTATTATTATCGTTGAAAGGCCTGTTGATAGACACATAGTGTCTGATTTTTCTGTGGAGGACAAAGGCACAACGTTACAGCCGCTGAAACAAAACGGTGTGAGGAACGGATTCATGCTCCAGCTCACTCACCCTCCCTGTCCAATCACAGGTGTGATTTTCACATTTTGCTGAATGTTGTCTCCATTCTTCTTTTTGGCATAATAAATCCCCTGCCACTCCTGGAACATAACACAACAGACCGATGGACTCGTCAGCTTGGCAACGCACGATTGCAAACAGAATGATAAGTGAAAAGTTGAAAGTGTCCCGTTTGTGTGCAACAGGCGGTGAAGACGGAGCGGGTCAGAGAACGGCGATTCGCTTTAATGGAGAGCGCGAGCGCAACTGGAGTCCAGCCCGCTCGTTTCATGTCCACCCCCTCCCACCCGCAGATTAAAAAGACCCTTCCTGCTGTTAGGCTGTCCGGGATTGACCTTTGCGCTCTGTGTGGTGAGATTACTTGCACATGAAACGGAGCTGCTGGATGACCAGCGGCGCAGGCCGACGGAGCACGTACACGCAGGGATGCGGATATCTGGGGTGCTTACACAAGTGATGCGAAGCAACGTGCACTGGAGACGGCTACAGACGTACAGGGGGCTGATAAAGGATGTGGAAGTGTGAAGAGCACACGTTACCTTTCCTTTTCGTATACAGGAGTTAATCGTTTCAAGGAGATCAGGCTTATTCTTCTCGCTTTTAGGCACTTCTATTATTTCCTTCCCTAGTAGCTCGCCTTGTTGGTAGCCCATAATGGACTCGTAGGCAGGATTCACATACTGCAAAGGCAGGGAGAGAAAAGCGATGAGTTCAGGCACAGTTAACTACTGTTTCCTAATTAACTGAAGAAAAGAAGCAAAAAAAGAAGACATTTTCAGCTCATTAGATTAAGAAGAAAACATCCTGAACGCACGAGCTGCAGTGTTTTGGGAGCATTTAAATAACACAGTTTACTATTACTCCTGAATGAGATCCTAAGACATGAACAGCAGCTAAATAAAAAGGGTCTGAGCAGAACAAAGGGAAAGGATGAAACACACACACACACACACACATGGCTGGAGGGGGAAACAAATGAAATTAATCCCCACCTGAATTACTTGATCTTCAGAAGTGATCTCGATGGCGTCTTGGCTTTGTTCCAGAGCTGTGAAAATGGCATTACTAGCCCTGGTAGGGAATAAAAACAACATCAAGACATTAATTTTGGATCATATTTTAAGACATGTTAGAAATATTAATTCCTCTGGCACATTTATGTGTTTTTTTTCCCCTTCAGTTTAACAAAATAGTTTGTTTCTGATGGGAAACAACAAGTCTACATGTGTATTAATTTTGTAAAAGAAAAATATGTAAAATATTATTTCTGTTCTTCACAATATTTAATAAAAAACTCTATATTGGCAATACAGCTGCATGTCACCCTTCTCATAACCATTTACATGTTTCCACTGATATTTTAGCCATTTCTCTTTGCCAAATGTTGGAGGCCTCGTCTCCACCAACATAATCTTCAGTTTCTTTATCAGACTCAAGTCAGGGCACTTCAAACAGATAATGTTACAACCAGTCAGAGGAAACTTGTTGGTAAAAAGGGAAAGGTTACTCCAGAACTAAATCTGTTACGAGTGTGAATAATGTTGTGTTCAACTGTAGAAAAGTTGAAAATGCATTTTAAAAAAGCTTATAAGCTGAAAAACATTCTGCATTAGCTTTATGTTAGAGAAAAATTTGACAAGCTGAATGTCGCTACATTGTTATAAATAAACAGGTTTTGTCTTTATTTTTAAAGATCATTATATATTGTATGATATGGGGTGCTTCTGTGTTGTTTTTTTGTTGAAGCACTTCACGTTAGAATATTTTTCAATTGAACCAATCAGAAATATGTCAAATTAAATGCACAGCACTTGCAGCATTTGTGTTATATTTACTGTAATTTAAGGGATTCATTCAGCAGCACTATTAGTTTTTTTTATACAGAGTATAAAAAAGTATCTGCAGACTATTTTCTTTTGTCTGTGTGTCCAAGGATGTGCGGTTAGGAGGGGTGTGTGCGCGTGTGCATTGAGGTGTAGAAAGCTTAAACGTGATAAGCAAACTTCACCACTGATATAGAGCTTAACTACAATGTAGTGTAATTGGAAGCATGACTCACCTCAGTTTGAACTGCGCCCGCACCTCTCCATGCTCCAGCTGTAGCAGCTCGTTGTAGCAGGCCATCAAATTGACATTTTCCACATACCTCTACGGGTCAGAGCAACACAGGCCAGTCAAAAGTGGATAAATAAAACCTGCAATATGCAATGCTAATCCACGTATCGGCAAGCGGGCACATTCTCAAAACAAACAGAAGGGGCGGGAGTATCATCGATAACTTTCATCTCCCTTGGAAAAAAAAAATCATCAGTTGCAAATCTGATTCTTATCAGTGGAAAACCACGTTTTCAGGGAGAATAAAAGCCACTGTGTCCTTTAAGCTTACCCTATTAAAGCCAGCGTTGATCAGCGGCATCACAGAGGCTTCCTCTCTGTCTGGCCTTAGAAAAAAAACCAAACAAACAAAAACAAAAACAAGCAAACACGAAAAACACATGTTAGAAGCAAAGCAGCACATGATAAATGTTTGTTTAGAGAACATCTGAGGGCTGTTACAGACGACAGGCTGCAGGAATACACACTATGTTTTCATCCTTTTTTTTTCTTCCCAACATTTCCTACCAAAAGGGACAATAAAAAAAAAAAAAAAGAAGAAAGCAAACATGTACCTTTTCACAACGGCGACTATCACAGTGTTTTCTGAGGAGTTGACCGCTCTCATTGACCTGAATGTAAACAGAGGGAGCCTTTTTAGCAAGCGAGCGAGGCGGTTGGAAAAGCCTGTGGCATCAAATCAATGTATTTTCAGTTTTTCACGCTCCGATTCTCACAGGCAGGCAGAGCCCAGAGGTGGAGCTCTGCGAGCGGTGCCGAGGCATCTGAAAGAATGCAGTGTGCAGGGCCGCTCGTCCGCCTGCGGTTTCCCCCAGCCAGTGGTCATAAAGGCCCTTTAGTGCCCCCAACTAGAGCCTGAGCGTGTACACTGAACATATGGACCGTCCAAAGATGAATAGGGTTAACATACCGTCCGGGCATGGCAAATGAATGTTTGTAAATGCACTTTTGGTTTGCGCCGAGGCTAAAGATAGACGATGGTACGGGCCAGGCACCGCTCATTACTGTGCGACATAAATCCACAAGGTAGAGAGCGAAGAAAAATTAGCCGGCCGTTCACCACAGATAATGAGAGGCACGGCCATGTGGACTGAAACTCATAAAAGCTGTGCTGCAGCTGGTCCCTTCGGGGTCACCTGGCATGTGTTGGATCACAGGCCCTGAATCAGTTGAGTTGTAACGTTGAGTTTGGAGTTGAGTTTGGATGCACCGAAACTCCTTTTTTCACTTCTGATACCGATACAGAGGTTAAGTGTCTTTAGTATCGGCCAGTACTGAAAAACAGTGATGGGCTGACTTAAAAAGTTTCCTTTTTTTAAATAAACTTAAACATAAATGTACTCAATCACAAATGTATTTTGTAACTCTACACCAGTACGGCACACTTAAACACACCAATTGATTCACAAGTGTGGTCAAACATGTAAAAGAACCCAACTTTAATCAGTACAATTAATAGTGAACCAGCCAATGTAAAATAATAAAGAACCTGAAACTGACAAAAGCAACAGGTTGACAAACTTTTTTAAATATGTATAAAATAAATTGCAAAAAAAAAAAAAAACCCTTTTTGCTAATATGATTCAGAAAGTGCAATTAGAAATTCTAAAATAATTTAAAATAAATAAAGCACGACATCGCTCAGAGCAAAAAGCACAGATCTAGACTGAAAACATTAACCCTTATGAATCGGGCACGTTGTTACAGATTCCCAATCTAGAATTATTTTCATTATCAGGATCGATACATATGCTAATATCGGATTGGTGCATTTCTATTTAGGATACCACTAAAGCTCATAAAAAATAAAAAACAAACAACCAAAGGAAATAATTCCCAGAATTCAATTTTCTTTTCAATATTTCCCTTATATTAGCTGAATGATACTATCATAGTTACAAAAAATTAAACCAGTAATCACAACAACTTAGTTGAATGTAAACTTGAGTAAATCTTTCCGACGTTCTCTTTAAAAACACAAATGTTCTCGACAATATCGGCTTTTATTTGATTAAACCGGAGGCGTGCAGTTCAAAGGTGTCAGGTTTTAAACAATACTTAATTACAGCAGAGATAAGAGAGCTTGCCTTACCGGCACAGTGCTTCAGCGTCAAAGTGTCTGGAATGTCTGTGGTCAATGATGACGAGGTCGTGATGCTTCTCTGAGAAGCATTCGAGAGCGAATTCAGGCGTCCGCACCATGCTGCACCTGTAGTTGGCCTTCTCACACGCCCAGCAGAAGCCATTGCTTTGACTGTCCTCTTTGGCAAAAACTAAAAGTACCTGGAAGACAGGAAAAGACAGAGGACATGTGGATTAAATATGAGTTTATTTAATTAAATAAGATCTCCTGCAAATTCTGACCTGTATTTTCTTTTAGAAAGGCATCCAAAGACATGCATCTTTCACATTTATTGCAACACCTTGCAAAAAGGTCCTAATGTGTGCATTTTATTTAACTGCAGTAGCTAAATCTCATACTGAAAGGTCCTTTTAATGTCAGTCAGTCTTTTTAGATCGAGGAAAAATAACAGAAATAAATTTGATTTATTCTATTTTTGTTGTTTATTTTACTTTATTGATATTAGTTTGTTATAATTGCTGGTCCTTCTAATAATTTATGTAAAATCAAAAAGTGTACGTAGAGTAATGTCTCTTTAACACACTGAAATGACGCTTTGGAGAACAGTGGGGATATGCAGAAATGATAAGTTTTATTTCCACTTGAAGTAGAAATGAACAAGTTCAACGTTAGAAAAATGAAATAAAAATACAATTTAGGCTCATCACCAGTACGGCATGCGCATGTACAAAATAAAGCACTAAATTAGACCTTTACAGTCTCTGTTTCTGAGCAAGATCCTTAAGAGTTTAAATCCACAAAATGAAGATAAATATATGTTGGTACTGGCTCATATTCTTAATGGCAGCTAGAACCACAACAATTAAATCCCAGTGGTTTTCCCACAAGCAATAGGACAAAGGCATCATGAGCTATTCTGTATTTCTGGGACAATCAAAGCCAAAACATCTCCATGTTAGTATGGATCTCTGTACATCCAAGAGAAACTGGCTGGTTGACTAGTGTATTCCTAAAAGTTATCTGCAAAAAAATTAGGAAGCCAAAAAAAAAAAAAAAAAAAAAAAAAACTCCTTCAAAATTATATTTAGTATACATGAATTTTATCTCCAGGCAGCTAGGATTTTCACCAATATACACAGCTTTAATTTGACAGTAACTCTTAAGACGAACACACAATCTGCAACAATAGAGAAGTTAGTTATTTCATTCAAGGTAGCAGGAGAAAGAACAAAGCTCCTCCTCCAAGGATATTTTATACTTCAAAATACCTCAAGCGTAGAATGTGGCTTGTATGGAAGACTGGCAAGTTTGTTGCATTGTTGAAAGAAAGCCAGAGGAGTTCTCTCCAAGGCATGTAGGAGACACGGAAAACAATGAAGGACAACCAGTGACAAATTGTCACTGGTTGTCAGGTATTTTCTGGGGATTATGGCTGCTGGCGGCACTAATTCCCCATTTTCTTCCTCCTTGACTTGACCATGAACACTTTCAATACTCTCATTTGCGTTGTTTAATCTGACATTTTGCAGTGTGACATGGGTAATGCATAGATGGCACATTATGAAACGTTAAAAGTCCTGCATGATCTTTACAAATCACACATTGCGAGCGAGGCCAGACATTCTGAACACGTCCGTGAAAAATTGATGCGATAAACACCATCATCACAGTGACACAGAGGTGGGAGCATCATTGGGGATGATTTTCTTTAGCTGGACAGTGAAGGCTGTCAGGATGGAGCAAATTACAGGGTAAGGCTGTAATGAAATCTGTAAGAACCTGTAAAAGACGAAGCAAGGAGGCAGAGGTACAAGAAAAGTTTAGACTGATGCGTTTTCGGGCCTTAGAAAGACTTCAACCTTAGTCTAAGTAAGAGTTTCTGGCAAGACTTTCAAAGAGCTGATCACAGATGTTCACCATCCAATCAAAGTATGATCTTAACCCATTTTGAGAAGAAAAACTGGCAAATATTTTAATCTCCAGATGCCCACAGTTTATAGAGAGGTATACCAAAAGACTCTCACCTGAAATTGCAGGAAAAAAAATGCCTCAACTCACTTAAATCAGGAGAATGCATAAAAGGCCATATTTTTAGATTTTTATCACCAAAGACATAGAAAACCACAGTCACCCTTCTATTTCAAAGTTTATTGCTCAGATTTTAAGATTTTTTTTTTCTGTCACTTTTACTTGTAAAATGACTTGTCTAAATCACTTACTGAATGTGGTAATCTGATCTCATGGTTTGATTAGCCGAGATGACTATGTGCAGCTCACAGCTGCTGCGTTCCTGCTCGTTCGCGCCCGTCATTCTATAATCAGCCTACGATTTGACCCGCGGGCCCATAGCAAACGGCCCCAGATTGATCGGGCTTAGCTCTTATTCCTGTGCGTCACAAGTCTTATAGTTCGCTGTGATGATCTATGGCACAATTAGTCCAGGCAGCCTTGACTGGCTGCAGCCCCTCTTTCTCCACCCTCACCCCAACAGGTCTAACCAAGGCTACGTCTGACTGCAGCTACCATCAAGCCAGCCATTGAGAGCGAGCTCCCTCTCTGCCACCACGCTTCCAAGCCCCCCGTCTCTCACTCCGCCTTCCCTTCACTTGCGTAAATACTGGACAGGAGATTTAGGCCCGCCTCCCGGAGCGGTGCTGCACTAAGAGTAGATTCATGACTCACGCTCTCAAACAGACGTCATCTCCGACTGTTGGCAGGCAGCGGAGTGAATGTAAAGAAGAGGAAGCTTGTTCTGCACGTTTAAGTTTGCGTCGCACCTGTGAGGTTGAGTCAGGACAGAAGGGGACCAGACAATTTCAGCTGGACTGGCGTAGCATTTCGCTCAAAGTCGACAGAAGCAGCGACTGCGTCTGTCTGACGGAAGAGCTGCAAATGTAAACCATATTCCACATACTGTAGGAGTATTTTTCCTACAAGCGGCAATAAGTGCACAGATCGTAAATACATCACCTCAGATTCCTGCAACTATGTTCGGTACGCACGGGAGAATTAGATCAGAATTCCACATTGGGATGTTGGGAGGAGAGTCAACATTCCCCCAGAGGTGGTGGACCTGGGTACTGAGGCCAAGATCAGATCAGACAGATTCACCGTGTTTTAACGTGAAAATATATGTATCTCTAACGTTCAAAAGGGACAATGAAGGAAAAAAGTGCTCAAAAGCGAGGAAAGTCACAGAAAGAGAAGGTTGAAGAGCATTTCTATTATGCCCTTTAGACAACATTATGTCTGAAAAGAGGCACAAGGGCCAGCCTGATCCTGTGAGGCGAGAGAAACGAGGAGGAGGGCATGACAGGATCAGCTGTGAGTGACAAAAACAGGAAGGGGATATCTCTCTACCTCGTTTTCCTACTGTGGCCAAACTCAAGTGCATCAAACAATGAGGCCGAGTCTGTGCACTCACAATACACAGAGTGTTAATTCAGATGGTTTCATTCTCAAAAATACCCCCAGCTGTGTTGGAGTGGCAATGTACAGAGTTTAAAACTAGCTCTTTTATCGCCCCTGGCAAACAATCAAAAAGAAAAGAAAGTTCCAAAATGGGACAAAAAATCCTTTTATAACCTCATTCACATGACGAAGACAAGTAGATTTTTACATTTTAACCTCAGAAATTCTGGGTAGAAACTTCTAATGTATTCTTGAATCAAAAATTAATGGGAAATATGTCCTACAAATTTGGATTTTCCCGTTTTCTCACACAGCAGAAGCGGGACATGCTGCTGGAACAAACTGTATCTTGAGAGAACGTCAGAGAAGATCCAGGCCGCGGTGACGAAACTGCTGATGCTCTGCAGCTCTCCAGAATGTGTATTGTTCATTATGGTATGTTCCCAGTCTCAAATATTTGGCCCCGTTGCCTTGACAGCGGCAACGCTGCGTAGCACACAACACGTCCATTAACGGCTGAGCTTCCCTCCTCTTCGGTGAATGCTTGCATGTTTCTTGGATAGGTGCGGCATTTTGAAGATATTCGAGATTTATTGCAACCTCAAACAAAAGCTGTTTTTCAATACTTGTCCTTAAAGCAACACAACAAAGTACTGACAGCCACACCACGTTCAGCTCTGATCTCAGCAATCGGCGGCTGATGGATGCAGGTATAAACCATCGACTGAAGCACTCCTGGTGTTGCCTTCGGGCTTGTATGCATTAAAGTATCACTCAAACACATGCCGAGCATTGTTTTACGGTACCTGAAGTGGGTCTTTAAATAGCTTCATTGGTCCAAACTGCACCTCTGTTAATGTGGTCTGAAAAATAAGAAGCATAGAAGGGTTAGAAACCAAACAGTTGAGAAATTTCACATGAAAATGTCTTGTATGAGTTTAGATGTTGACTGGAGTTTACAAATCACAATGACAAAAACCATTCCTTTTCACTTGACCTGTAAAATATGGAAAAGCTGAAGGAAAGCAAACTGCATAAAACACACACAACAGGAAATATAGTTCAATTTTCTTTTGGCTGACAGAAAAATCCAACTTAGATGGAATTTGAGATGATTACTGCAAATTTCACAAGACATGCAAACAGAGAAGATACCCAATTAAACAGCTGGATTCAATGACATTAAACACAGATGAGATATGATGCACAGGTTGATGTTTGTACCCATGGCAAGCAGCTTGTGTCTAATTTCTGTTCTGTTGTTTCAACTTAAGTCACTGAGCAAACAGACAGAGAGAGTTTTTGAGGAAGATTGTGTGAGTAATCATCTCAATCTTAAGGGAAAAGGAGCGTATATTTTGGTTTAGACGCTAATCTCTCAAGCAGTTGAATAACATGAAATTATACGCTATCATCCAACATGTGGGTCTTTAGAATGCAAACAGCCAAGTTTGCATTGTAAACTTCTTCATCCAAGAAAAAAATTTGTCAAGAGCTCCAAACCCAACCTAGTCCTTGTTTATGTCCTTCTGTCTAGAACATGGTAATGTTATGGTTAAATTAAAGAGCGACAATCTTGTTTCTATTTTTAGGTATTCAACTACAGGAAACAACCCAAGCTTAGCAAAAAACAGAATGAATAAAGTATATTCAATTCCTAATTTATGTAAAATGGAGAAAAAAAAAACTGTCAAATCCCAAATGGCACAAAAAGTGAAAAATGACAACCAAAAAAAAACTATTGCTATGGGCTACAATTTGCAACACAGGCAATCAAAATGCAGCATTTTTTTTTCTTTTGGTGCTGATTGGCTTTACCCCCAAGAGCGGAGAGCAGGAAGACCATGGATGTTCCCGTTATTAAAATAGGCAAGCTGTAAGTAACAAACTGTCTAAAGTTCTGATTTAAAATTGGTCTTTGCTACGTTAGTAACCTTCAGTGACGATCACCTTAACAGCAGCCGAAATACACCTGAATCATTCAAAAAAATGTTTCTTTGTTTTATGATAGTCTACTGTTCTAACGTTTCCTGAGGAGGTTGTTGGAAATGACAATTTGGTCTCAACATACTTAAATAAAGGTTAAGTAAAATAAAGCATTGATCTTTTCTATTAAAACAAGTATAAAGAGAAGCAAAAGTCAAAATGTGAAAGAAATCTGAAATTTTGAAGAAAATATCAACACATTAAAATATAACAGGAATGTCTAGTTTACTAGAACTAAAGAGTATTTTAGAAATCTTTACTCATATCAAGTGCATAGTAGTTATTTATTGCAATAACTACTATGCAATAAATACATAGTATTTGTTGGTTCATTTAGCAATAACTACTAAATGAAGCAGTTATTGCATTCTCTTATTCTTTCAAAAAACAAACAAAAGCTTTATGAAAATCCAATGACTTTGTGAGCTCTCTATCACACACACAGTAGCTGCTTTCTACACCATTCAGCTGATAAAAAAAAGAAGAAAACTGACAAGTAAACCGCGTGAACAGCGGGGAAATCTTGCTGAAGCCCAAAGAAATGCTGGATCTTTGTATTCATCCTCGAAAAGTGACTTTGAGTTGCATTACCCACTGAAACCTTCCAGCAGAGACACAAACGCACACCCATGGCAACTGCACTCCCAGACGGCAGTGAAGCAGAGTTACACATTCAACATCGAACTGAGGAACAGAACAAAGAGCCCAAATCTCCGACCCGGACTCAAAACTCAAGCACAGGTCACTTCGGAGTGCTTCACAATTTGGTGATTGAGATAACAAAATACAAAAAAATATTGTAAATATTACTCTCGGAGGGGTGTTTTTCACTTATACATTATATAATATTTCATATTGAATCACCATTGCACACTGCATTTATATACAAAATAAAAGCAATAAAAGCACGAGGTTAATTTTTTTAACCTCATGAAAAGAAATTACTTTATGAAAAATACATATTTTTTTAAAAATTCTGGCTTTTAAATGCCGCATATTTTAATAGAGAAGCAAAAGGATCGCTGTTATCAAAGGTGACATTAAAATGATGCTGACACTCAATCGGCACATCCCTGACTTGGTGCCCACCATTTCTTAAAGTAACAGCATTCAGATTTCTTTTCACTGCACAAATGACAACAAATCAAGAAGACACACACAAATTTCTAACTGCTCTGACTTTCCCTTCATGAGAACACTTCTTCTCTGTCAGCATATGATTTGGCTTCCTTCCTCCTAAATGGAACCCGGCTCAGGGGTTAGTAACCATCGCAACCAAAGCCCCTCACGGGCCACCGTCCCTCCAGAATTCCTCGTCTCCGTAAACAATCTACACATGTGAGGGGGAGCACAGAGAGGAATTTCAGAGCGTTCCAAGGCCGTAGCAAATCGGTTCTTGCTAAATTGTAAGCCTTTAGAAAGCTCTGTGAAACAACAAAGAGGCGGGGGGGAAAGGGCGGGCAGGGAGCAGGGGTGGCGGGGCAGATTAGCCCTCGGTTGTAGCCAAATTTACGTCATCCTGACACAGGGCTGTTTGTTGAAGTTGTCTTCAAACAAGGAGTATGGAATCAGGATAGCTACAAGCTGGTGCTCAGAAATCATCTGATGATCGAACAGACTCAAGGACCTGGTCGCATGATAGCCTCATGTTTATGGAAGAGATGCTACAAGTGTTTGAAAAAATGGCAATGATGGGAATGAAATGGAACCAATGTGGAGGAAAATTCGACAGGAGAACTTGACTAGGAGGAACTGGTGTCCTTTCCAAAACGAGTGATGAATGTTTGAGTTTTGCTTCAGTGATAATGAAATAATCCAACTAATCAAGAAGTCAATTAATCCAAGAAGTCAATTATTTGAATTCCTTTCTTAGACCGGAACCCAGTTCCTCCATTATTATTATTATTATCATCATCGTCACAGTTCTGTATGTAACACTGCATTTTACATTGTCAAGAGATAAGATTATTTGGTTCTTCATTCAAGTTAAAGTTCAGCCCTGCAAAACTTTAAGTCTGTGTTTTTGGCTCTTAATTCTCTGGTCTTTGAGTTTTTGATTTGCTGCCAGCAGCACTTCCAAGCTTGTTCTGGTATTCTCTCACCAAACTCTGGGTCTGCCCCAAGGTCTTGCTACTAGTAAAACATACGTAGAATAATTTCAAAGAGAAACAATTATGATTCCGCATCATGACAGGAAGTGTTTGGTGAAGGCAGTGTGATGGGTGTGGAGCCAAGATTCATAATCATTTAAGGCAATTTTATTAAAAAGCGATATCAATATGAGATTGGCATCTTCCAAGATGCCAATAATCGAAGACTCACAGTGTCTAGCCATCTTGCAGACCTGACCTTAATCTTATTGAAAACTTAAGTTGGTGTTATCCTGGTTTTCATGCCAGACTGACCAACAGAATCACTTTCTCTGCACTGTGACCAAGCATGAGAGGAAGTACCAGACTGTTGTGGATGTGTATGGTTTGGTTCTTCAACACACTAAAGAGACACCTATCTGCTAACTGAATAAATTGTTAAATTACCAATATGTTTGGTCTCCACTAACCTCAATCATCTAGGTCAAACTGTACAAAGCAAGAATTAGCAGCGGAATACATTGTTTTGCCTTGGAAGAGAGGTTTTGACAAGACCTTCAACCCACATAAGTAAACTTATGAGGGTCCTTACAAATGTGGCATCATTTAAGATGGAACAAAAGATGTGTTTGTTTAATTTGTTACATCTGAGCAAACACAGTAAGCTTTTTCAGGAAAAGAGTGACCCCAAAGCGTTTTTTTATTGGAGAGAACCAGTTCCTTTTTCTCTCTCAATCAAGCCCAGATGAATTTGCAAACTGAATACCTTCTCTTAATAAAGACAGAATATGTTTTGAATCTGCAATGACTTATAATCCCTCTTTCCTACAAAGTTGACTATTTTGTTCAATATTACATACCTAAGTTTGTTGTACAGCGTCTACAAAACGTACTTTGACCTGACACTGTTGGCCCAGATGACAGGAAGGATGAAAACCAACTTCTAATCGGTAAAATTATGCAACAGTAATTTGAAAAAAAAAAAAAAAAAAGAACAAAAACAAACATTTAATCATTTCTGTGTCTGTTTATCTTTTTTTACGGACCAAGTTGTGGCTACCTGGAAGTGTCAGCTAAACTGGCGATCTTATGCTAATCTCTTCAGTGAACAAAAAAAAAAAAGTTCTGACCTTCTTAATTTATTCAGACTCAACAAATAACTTTCTGGTCTCAAAACACTGTATTGCAGCCAGGGAACTTTTGCAAGCAGTGCTCGCACAAAAGAATATCATGTAAAAGCTGTATGTCGGGGGAGTTGGTGGAGGACAGGACCTTGACATATTGAGTTTGGCCACAAAGCCTCCAGCTAACTTCAGCCTAGCAAGAGCAGTGCACAACACATTACTGTCTCCATGCAGGAAGACTACTCTCTTTGACTGACAAAGACACAGCCAATCCAATTGCAGCAGAGGTTGTGTAACTTGTACAGCAGGCTTGACACACAAACTCGCTCGCACAAAAACGGAGCTAAAGCACTCTGCCGTCGTCATAAGGAAACATACAGTACACACACACGCACACACACACTGCAATGAATCATTCAGTCAGGCTTTTGCTGTCCAGCATTCAACTAGAGGCAAAACCAAGCAGGGAAAGTGAGAGAGCAAGTAGGCCATGGAGGCGAGAAGCACAGACATGGTGTGGATGCCTACGTAATCCCTGTTCCATCCTCTGTTTGTGTGTGCACAGGGCCACTTGTTAATAAGCCAGCAAGTTTGAGGAGCAGCAGGAAATGCTGGCTTGTTGCATCTGAGGTCAGTGACTGACAAAAATTACTTGAAACATAC